GAGAAAAGCATAAAATACTTTTACTACTACATTGAAACATTCAAAACAATATTGTAACAATAATCAAAGAATTGGGTTCAAGCCATCGATTATGTTTTGCATACCACTTTTTTATATTTTCATATCGATTACTAAAAATAACTTAAATTTTTTATTTAAAGTTTCCGCCATTCCGCAAAATTTATACAATCATACAATAATTTCATTTTGCAAATTTGTATTCCATAAAAAGTAAAGTATCCCGCCATTCCGCATTTACGTAATGTTACCAAACTGTTTTGTTGCTCGGCTTGGTCTCAAGTAGGGTATTCCGCTATTTAACCGGGAACGGTCTGATCCGATTAAAACAGATTTTAAAGGGAAAAGTGAGCGTAGATAAAACCGGTACGATCGGAGTTTGAAATTGCACGACTCTTCTTCTCCGCCTCCGTCTCTTGATTTGGGATTGCTCTTCAATTCCTCAATTAGGGTTTTCAGATTTACTCGAAATATTTTAAGGTTAGCCATGAAATTTTTAAGATTTAGAATTTCTTGAAGCTAAAATCGTTATCAGAAAGTGCAAGGAAGAGAGAAACATTCATGATTCGTAATGGATTGATGAATTTGCTAGGTTTTTTTTTTTTTTATATTGTCAGATTGAAAAAGGAGAGAGATGAGCAACGAATCAGTGAAGGAAGAAGACGAATTTGTTCTGATTGATCTTGACGATGTTACGAGGCACATTGACATTCCCTCAAATGCTCCATATACTTTATCAGTTTGTCCAATTTCTCTACCTTTATGATCAGATTACACTCTTTGTATTATAGTTTTTTTTTGTGTGTTCTGAAACTTGGTTTTTGTTTTATTATTCTTAGGGATTAGATACTTTGAATCCGGTCTTGACCATTGATGGGAAAATCAAGCTTGTAAGTCTTAAATTTTCCAAGTTCTTGCTTAGAAACATTCTTAATGGTTCCAGATTTTGATCTAATCTTTTTTTTTTTAAGGTTGGAGAGTATATAGAGACAATTGGTACATGCCTTGCATTCTCTGACAAGGAAGGTTAGTTCACTTTTTTTTATAAACCGTTTCTCACAAAAACATGAAACCCTCTTATTGTTTTCACCTTGTGGGTCAAAAGAAACATGTATTGTGTGTACATTGTTTCAAGTAAATTCTTTCTCTTTCAGTTTCATTGTACTGATTTTGCAGAAGTTCCCGTGGATGAAAACCATACGGCAAAGAAGCTTGTCGAACCTGTTACCAAAATCCACAAGATTCTTAAGTTTAGCATTCGACAATGGCGATAAAGAAACAAACACAACCAATTCGTAAAGGTTTTTTTATGTTTCTTCTGTTCAAGTCACTGAAGACCTCGAGTAATGGATTACAAATAGCATAAATGTTGCTGTTGTGTTGGAAGTTCATCTTTCAGGTAGTTCAAGACAGCTTTTGTTCGTATATCCATTACTGAACCTCTTACAACTACTGTCTTATTACTGACACCTTTTTCGGCTACTCATTACTGTATTATTACAGTAATTGAATCTATACATTTTTATTAAAAAAAATTTTGATGTAGACAACAATAGTTTAAAAAGTACTATTATTAATATATTTTAAAAGATTACATTACATATATTGAATGCACATACTCTCCCAGCAAAAGTAAACAAAATAATTAGAACACATTATAGTGTTAAAGCCCGCACAACAAAAATTTGAACACAATACAATATTAAGCTTGCACAACGTGCAGGTCAATTTCTAGTTAGTTTATAATGTGAATCATATTTAATGTCGACAACAAAAAAAGTTCGTTTTTTTTTTTGTTTTTGACGGCAATTTCGTTAAGTATTGAATCAGCCAACAAAAACATACTATAATAAAAATTATGAAACCAATTCTATATATAAATCAGTAATCTACTAACACCACTGGTAACTTCACCGTATGATTATACAAACCATATTTAATAAATACACATTATATATTGTAAGACGCATTCATATTTTAACAAAAAACAAAAACATTCATATCAAACTCAGAATTTCTGCTATAGCTAATAATTTACCATCTCTTTAATTAAATAATTGATAAACTATTAAATGAATCATTAAACTATACTACTCAAGATACAT